CTAACTGGTAGTATACGTAACTCAGAGTTTGTTCTAACTGTGCTACATGTGTCTCAGAGTTTGTTCCAACTGTATTATACGTAACTCAGAGTTTATTCTAACTGGTAGTATACGTAACTCAGAGTTTGTTCTAACTGTGCTACATGTGTCTCAGAGTTTGTTCCAACTGTACTGTACGTGACTCAGAGTTTGTTCTAACTGTGCTACATGTGTCTCAGAATTTGTTACAACTGTACTATACGTGACTCAGAGTTTATTTTAACTGTGCTACATGTGTCTCAGAGTTTGTTCCAACTGTATTATACGTAACTCAGAGTTTATTCTAACTGGTAGTATACGTAACTCAGAGTTTGTTCTAACTATAGAACACGTGATATCTAAAGAGGTAGGACGTATAAAATACATGGATAATAAATACGTTTACAAACATGTAAAATGGATTACCTGCTTATTATTCCTACTTGATATTGCCTGGAATGTTAAACTTATATCAGGACGTATTTAAAATGGTTATGTTTTAGAAACAGAAAAGAAAACACACCTTGCCGGTTGAATGGACTTCTGAGACTGGTCATGCAGCTCGTTACGCTTAGGTTAAAGGTGAACGGTAGAACAACGAGAAGGCAAAGAATTATGAAAACTGTTATGAGCATTAGGTTAAGACCACGGTTAATTCCTCGTTTGTAGGCCGCAATTCCGAAACTTCCAGCCACACAGTGCAGAAGGGCTAGTAAAAAAGGAGACTCTTTCCGGTCCTCACACATATCGTGCCTAGCGTGTACAACCTCGGCGATCCCCAACGCCAACAGGCATCCTCCACATACTATCTGAGTGAGAGCCAGACTAAAACATACGTTGTGTCGACATAATCTGTGATCTGAAAGTCCCACGAAAGCTGCCATCAGCAACTAAAGAAAATCAAATATCAAGAGCAGGATGGTGGATGTCGAAGTCTCAGAGTGCGTTTGGGCAAGTAATCATGACTACACCCTGGTCTTTATTCTCTAAACACAGCTGTGCAATATAGACACGTGGTCACCAGAAATAGACTCACGTTTCAGGAGGAGGAGGAGGGGGAGGCTCACGCATGAACGAATGGGACGGAATAGAGGACTCAAAAATGTATAACGTGTGTTTTTGTTCTAACTGTGCTACATGTGTCTCAGAGTTGTTAGGACTTTATGCATTCGTAGCTCTTGTTTTTTTGTAGAAGGAAATGTTATAATATTTGTAGAAAGAAGTTGTTTCATGTATCTCGAACTTGATGTTCTATAATTAGGCCTAGGCTAGCTACAAAGTGGCTTATACACCACAGCATGTGTTATATTGCTTGAAACAGATAACTAATTACACAAAACTCCAGGAAGTTATTGACTACATTCGTTAACATAGAAATCAAAGTAAATAAAATGATTAAAGTGTCATAGAGAACAGAAATGACTAAATTCACTGTTTATTCAGATTTAACTGGAACCAGAAAGTGTGGGTTTCTCGGAATATCTAAAACGTGTTTACCCGGCTTCAACCAGAACCAGAATGTAAGAAAATGCAGGGTCCTCGGAATATTTAATATGTGTTTACCCGGCTTCAACCAGAACCAGAATGTAACAAAATGCGGGATTCACGTAATACGTAAAACGTATTTACCAAGTTTCAACTACGACCAGAATTACAATCAGGTAACAAAGAACGGGTTGCACAGAATAGTTAAAACGTGGTTATCTGGCTTTAGCTGGAACTAAAATGACAATAAGGTAACAAAGAACGGGTTACACAGAATAGTTAAAACGTGGTTATCCGGCTTTAGCTGGAACTAAAATGACAATAAGGTAACAAAGAACGAGTTACACAGAATAGTTAAAACGTGGTTATCTGGCTTTAGCTGGAACTAAAATGA